CCTTCATTAATATTCATGCCTAGTTCTTGATTGCTTTGATTAATAGTTTTAATTGCATGAATATTTGTTTGAATATTTGGACATGGATATGAGTTAAATAGATTGATTTCTTTAAACATGTTCATTGATTGAATCCATTGAGATAGTTGTACCATATTGTGTCTAAAGGTTTGCATTTTTTTTGGTATATTGCTAGACATGTTTTGAAATGTTCTTGCATATGTTTGTGTGATTTTGTTTAAAATAAATATATGTTTGATTATTGCATATGCTTAGATTAATTACATTGCTATGCATTAAAATAATTTGGATTGTAATTGAATAATCATGCTTTCATTATTTCTTTGCTATAGCATATGTACTCATCATGTTTGAAGAATCATGCTTATATAATCTTTGGTATGACATGATGATAATTGAACCTCATTGCTCATTAGTACTTATGATTTATTATATACATATGAGCTTTTGGTTCTTGTTTGGATATGACAGCTTATGAAAGATTACTACTATCATTTATGCATGTATTGAATGAATCTTTCATATGCTTGAAGTATGTTTATTCTATGAAAGTTGTTGAATAAAATTGCTAACAATTGGTAACAATTGATATCAAAATTGCTAATTTTTTTTTTAACTTTTATAAACACTTATTTATGTTCCTATCCTTGATATAGCTTGTATCTCTCATGCAAAATTGTGTGTGCCTTATATTGATTAATCTTTATTTTGAAAATGAGGAGAAATATTATAATACAATTTTGCTTGATTTATTTTGTGAAAACAATTGTATGCTTTTTGATGACATATCTTTACCAATTGGTATCCATAACAATTGGTATGAGCTTGTATGCATGTGCTTGAATTTATGCTTAATTGCTATTGATGTTTTAGGTTCTAAGCACATCTTATGATAACATAATTTATGAGTAGATTGCATATCATTTATTATCCTTTGCTCATAAATTTCATGTAGTAAATTTGATGACTTGTGCTAAAATGCCAAATTTGGATACACTTATGGTTTTGTACTTAAATACATGTATGTGAACTTCATTGTGCATATTATATTTGATTACATGCATTTAAAATACTTTTGATATTATTGGTATCAAGCATTTTGTCTTATGCCTTGAATTGATCTCTCTTTCTTTTGAAATGACAAAAAGGGGAGAGAGTTTAGAGATATTTCTTCTTGTATGCTTATTGCAATTGATATAGGAGTTTAAACATTAGGTATAAAGAGCATAAACAAAAAGGAGGAGAAATGTTTCATGAAAATATTTGTTAATGATGCCTCTTTGTGTTTATTTGCTTATTAATATGTTCATGCCTTTTTGCTATAACAAAAAAGGAGAAAAATATCATATAGACAAATTTGCTTATGCTTGAAATACATATGTTTATGTGTGCTTAATTGCCATATATGCTCTAACATATGTTTGTTGAGTTCTGTTGGATTAGGATGCCTAAATTGAGCGGGAGTTTTGCCATTGGATTAGGATGTACAAATTGAGTGGGAATTTTGCCATGGATTAATTAAGGGGGAGTTTTTCCAAAGTGTTTTTCAAAATCCTAAATGTTTCAAAGAAAGTTTTTTATCAAGCAAATTTATATTTAAGTTTTGTCATATTAAAATGGGGGAGATTGTTAGCCTTGAATTGACCTTATTTTGAAATGACAAAACATTAAAGCTAAATAAACTTATCAAGATTTTGAAAAAGATTTATTTAGTACATGTTCTTAAGTTTTATATTTTGGTACTAAATAAATAATATGATTTTCAAAGTTTAAACAAACCTTTCTTGGTGTCATATTTCTCAAACCAAATCTACCTTTAAAGATTATTTATTTGAGCTTTAATTAAAGTCCAATTGTTGTTTTTAAAGGGAACTTATTCATTTTGGACTTAATAAAATTTTAATAATATTGGTTTTGAGAAATAGATTAAGTTAAGAAAGTTGTTTTTACAAGAACAAAGTTTTTCAACATTGAACTTATTTTATTTTTCTGTATAAATTCACAAGGTTTTAATATTTTAATTTTATATGGTTGGAAAGCTCTTTGAGTCTACTTTCTAATGGATTAAACAAAATAAAAATCTAAATTTTCTAAGAAAAAGATTTTAAATTTTTACTAGACACACTGCAGTTGTCCAGAAAACTGCACAAGGGGTAGATTTGAAAATTCACTATAATTCGTACACAGTGAATTAGGTGATGAACTTTATATAGATCGAAAGCCCTTTAAATCTAGTTTCTAAATCTTAAATAATTTATGATTTGAATTTTTGTAACTCAAGTTATGATCAAATTAGTGAGTAGAGTACAAAATGGGAAACAACCACCAGCTTGGACATAATCGATCCCTCTCTAGAAGGGATCAATTGCTTCTTCAAACAAAATGCCCCCCAAGCTGAAAATCCAAAAAAGGGATCGATCCCCCCACATAAGGGATCAATCACCCAGGCAAGGGATCGATCCCCTCAAGGAAGGGATCGATCGGGTAAGGCTTTTCAAGCATAAAATCGTGCTTGAACCAACATAAACCAATCGATCCCCTCAAGAAGGGATCGATTGGTTCTATGCGTGAAGACCTCAAACGGCTACTTTTTCATCATTCCAATGAGCATTTCTTCACTCCAAGCTTCCCCAATGGATAGTTTCTCAATTTTTCTATAAATTGGGTACTCCAACACACTAAGAAAAAAGAGGAATCAAGATGAATCAAAAGAGCAAGAGCCAATAAGCCACATTTTCATTCTCTCAAAGAATCAAGAGTTTTTAGAGCTTCAAAGTCCATATCTTTGCATTTGTTGTATCCAATTTTTATTTGTTGTTCATTCATCATTTTCTTATACTTAAACTTAGCAAACACTTAGCCTTAGAGAAGTTATTCTATTGTTTACAAAATTACCTTTGATATACAAGGATGGAAGAGAACAAGAGGTGATGTATCCTTTTGAGAGTTTTGTAATGAGATTGGGTAAAATACAAAGGGTAGAGGTTTTTATCATAAGCCTTGAAAAGAAAAAGATAGGTTGTATTTTCAATTCAAGAATAGTGGATTGAAGCCTTGGAGTAAACAACCAAGAAGAGAGGACGTAGGTGCATTGTGGAGAATTATCGAACCTCTATAAATCATTATGTTTGATTTCTCTATCCTTATCTCCTTACAATTTATTATTCTTTATATTTGATTTTAGGTTCATTAGTTGTTATTGTTTGCATTATATTTTCATCAAAAGTGTTTATTGTTTTAATTTTCATTCAATTATATTGAAATCATTGTTTGAGAAAAATTTGGAGAAATCTAATTCACCCTCCCTCTTAGATCACTATCTCACCTAAAAAACTAACATAATTGTTTAAATAGTCATAATAATTTGAACTTATTTGGTAAACAGATTTATTTTTTAAATTCTTTACTTATTAATTGTCTAAATATTAACAAATTTATATTATTTTAATTAAAACAAGCTTGTATGAATGAAAAAAATTATTTTAAGATAAAACAAAATGTTAAGAGCGATTTGAAATAGGTAATTGTTCAAATAGTCATAACTATTTAAATTTGTTCGATAAACAAATTTATTTTTTAAATCTCTTATTAATTTTTAAAATATTAATAAATTAGAATTATATTATTTCTAATAAACTTGTATAAACAAAAATAATTATTTTGTGACAAAATAAAAAGTAATAATAATTTGAAATAGATAATTGTTCAAATAATCATAAATTCATTTATTAAATTTTTTACTTATTAATTTTTAAAATATTAATAAATTAGAATTGTTTTATTTCGAATAAGATTGCACCAATAGAAACAATTATTTTATGACAAAGCAAAATGGTAATAACGATTTGAAATAAATAATTATTCAAATTGTTATAATTAATCAAATTGGTTTGATTAACAGATTTATTTTTAAATCTCTTATTAATTTTTAAAATATAAATAAATTAATATTATTTTATTTTGAATAAATTTATATGAATAAAAACATTTGTTTTATGATAAAATAAAATGTTATAACGATTTAAAATAGATAATTACTAATATAGCCTTAACTATTTGAATTGATTTGATAAATAAATTTATTTTTTAAATCTCTTAGTTATTAATTTTTATAATATTATTATATTAGTATTATTTTATTATGAATAAGCTTGAATGAGCATAAATAATTGTTTTATGACAAAATAAAAAAGTTATAACAGTTTGAAATATATAATTGTTCAAATAATCATAATAATTTGAATTAATTTGATAAACAAATTTATTTTTAAACTTTTACTTATTAATTTTTAAAATATTAATAAATTAATATTATTTTATTTCAAATAGGCTTATATGAAGAAAAACAATTGTTTTATGATAAAATTAAACTTCATAATGATTTAAAATAAATAATTATTTAAATGATCATAATTATTTGAACTCATTCGATAAATTGATTTATTTTTTTAATTTTGAACTTTTTAATTTTTAAAATATTAACAAAATAATATTATTTTATTTTGAATAAAATTTTTTGAACGAAAACAATTATTTTATTATAAAATAAAATGTTATAATAATTTTAAATAAATAATTGTTCAAATAATTATAATTATTTGAATTTGTATTTAGAGAAAGAAATCAGAAAAGCAGAACAGAGGTGGATGTTCCTTAGGAACCGTGCAAGAGTGAAGTTTAAAGTAGGACATCACACATAGCAGAAACGATAAAACAGGTTGTCGCAGCAATCCACGAAAACAAGCATCATTCAATTTAAATAGAGTAAATCTAACAGAACGAAAGCTCTTATACCTATGAAGTAAGCAGTAAGAGATGCTCGCTTTAAGTTTGGATGTCATCCATCCAACAGCTTCACCCATGGTAATAATTTTTCTCTTTTCTTTTTGTGTAAAAAGTTCAAGGTGAGGGGAGGCTTCCCTTTCCAGGGCCAGAACAGGCTGCAAACCTCATAGAGCACTTAATTAGATTTACAGATCACACATCAAAGAGGACTGCTTATTGCAGGATTAGAACCTACGCTTTACAAGCGAAGTATTTGAATTTTACCAACTCAACGAACCCCGTTGGTGTAATAATTATGTTTTTGACCAAAGAAATAGTCATTAAAAAAAGAAGCAAGAAAAAACACAAACACACATCTTTTTATTTGAAGAATTATCACAGCTGTATCTCCTTAAGGTTGTAGTCAAAGATGACTGCTTGTAAATTACATCAGCACAAAGGAAGTTAAAACACTCCTCACCATTAAAAGAAAATTGGCAAATATGTAAACAAGGAAATTAGGCAGTGCATCTTCTTCAACAAGATGGGTGTCCCATAGACGGGTTACCAGATGGAAAGGGATCTGTTAAACAAAAAGAACAAATAAATAAATCTTATAGAGACAGAAGAAAAATTGAAAGTAGGACCAGTTTGGCAATCAGACAAAATTTTGAAAGACAGGATAATTAAACAAATGCAAGTGATAGTGGGATTAAACCTTACCTCACGTATCAATAGCCAGTTGAACTAGAGAAAAGCAAATTGAAGAAATTCAAGTCCTTGGTCCTCCATATGTCTAGAAACAGGTTCTGGTACAAGTTAACAGAAGTGTTAATATGACAAAGATGTGAAATTAGAACATATAAAAAATAAACAAAACTTTAAATGAATAAAGAAAATCACGCGCACATTATATACAGGGGCATTATTAAACAATGTCCAATAAGACAGACATGCAAACCACTTTCTTTCGTCTGTAACCTTAAAAAAAAAGTGTTTGTCGATACACACACAAAAACCTTTCCTTTTTTCTGTAACATTAAGATGGGTGTGTCTGCACACGCGTGCACAATGTCTTGCTTTTTTTAGAGCCATTGCAAGAAAAAGAAATCCACACAATAAATGAAGGCTTAAATTCCCTTCATAAAGCAAATGGTGGTTGAGTTCAAGAATAAAAAAAAAATTGTGGATAGAATTGAAGGCCCCTAAAGAGTTACCATCAAATCGCCTAACCAATTCCTTCAGCTTAAATACAAGCCTCTGGATTCCTGGTTAAGCAAATGTGTAATGGCCTTGCATGCCATCAAGCAACTTTGACAAGCGCCAATAGCAATCAACTTCTATGCTGGAGATGTTCTCTGAAGATATATCAGAGGTTGACCAACCATCTTTGCTCCTTTCTAAGTACTCTGATAAGAAGACAACTAGAAAGGGTGTGACAAGATCATTTATCCCCTACACATATCTACTTGCAGGATGCCGAATGGCCCTGTACATGATGTTGAAGAAAAATATCAATTACCACCAAAACAGAGATCTCACAGCCTCTTAAGCTGCACAAGTTAATAATTAATAGTCATCAACTATTGCTTAAAATACGGAATTTAAACACATTAATAAGAATAAAGAAGTGATCAGGCGCCACAATAGAGATTTACAATAAAACTAAAGCAGCAAAAAGTCAGATAGTAGACTTTAAAGCTACGTGTAATCATAATATCATGATATGACATGATGTCTAAGCTCTCCAAAATAACAGCAATCATTAAGTCATTATGGTATGGTAGACAGTTGAGAAAGAATCAAAGGATAAATCATGCCAATATTGGAGAGAACTTTTTTTATGTTTACTGTTCAGAGGCCTACTACATTGAAGATTTACCAGAAGCTAAAAAACTTTACAAGTAAAGGCAAAAGCAACAACAGGAGTGTAGGACATCTTTGTGAAGTATTTACCCACTAGAATCTGAACTACAGCATACAAATTATTAGGATAGGGCTTTAACAGGTATCTATCTGAGTGACAGATACATGTCCAACCACAGTAGTTAAACAGCTCCACTTAAGACCATTTGTGGTTCCACGTGAGTGGATACTAGATTTAGATCATAAACTTGTATGATCCTATCAACTACTAAAAATTTTCAATTTTATAAAAAAGTGTAAAAAATCTGAAAACCGTATCCTAACACAGAAGAAGAAAATACTCAAATTTATAAAATGCAAAAATAAAGCTGGTAGGATGAATTTTCTTGGTTAATCAAAGAAAACAAAGCAGGGATTAGGTAAATATGGTACAATCTAAAATACTTTCCAAAATATATTCTATTAACAACTGAATGTGAATGTACAGTTAGCATTCTATTGGGTTGTTGTTTTATTACTTGCTTTCTACCATGTGTATTTTGCTTCCTGAAATGTTGCTTTAAAGCAGCCACAAATAGTGAAACAAGAAATCATCATACCATATGATATGTATAATTAAAAATGAGTAAAAGTTGAAAAACCACTAATTCAAACATAATTGTTCCACACAGAAGAATCAAGCATTCTGTTATCTATAAAACCAGAAGTTTTAATTTTCAATTCTTAAAAAATATTGTGTCCTACATGTTATAAGAAAGCCATCAACAAATTTGAATTCACCAATCCAAGTAGTATCTTACTATGCATAAAGAATGCGCTCCAAGGACTTTTGGACTTGTGCTTGCTGAAAGAAAACAACATCAGGTACAGTTCTAGGACAATCAACAGCAATCTAACAAACAGAATAAATGCATTTGTTAATAATTGGGTATATAAGGCGGACAAATTATGTTTGGCAATTACGTAAGGGCTAAAGGTACCTGGCAAAGCATATTAATCATATCATCTGACCGTTCAATGTCTGGAATGTCATAAAATTAAGCAACACAATCAAGATACTCAAGACGTTTCCTCCTTAGAACTCCCTTCCTTCTATCTGAATTAGGTGGTGCATATCCCTGTTGTCAGTTCATACTTCAATTTCAAACAAGCAACCAAATTTATTTAATAAAGACAACCTAGTCATTCCCCTAGCTCATGAAAAGGCAAAATTTAGAGGCAATACCTCTAGATGAGATGATGTGAATATGAATCACTTGACAGTTTCAGTTTGGGTTTGTCAATTTGTTTATTGGCAGTTGACCTTAAATTTTATTAAAGAAATTAAAATAAATAATTTTTGTTATACAAAATTAAGATTATGAAAATTTTATTTTATTATAATGATAATCTTTAATTTATGAACATATTTTATTAAAAGCTTTTTATTAGTTGATATAATTTATAAAAATATTCAAAAAAATTTATTTTATAACTTTGACAATTAAATATTATTTTTATATTTCAATATTTTCTCTTGGCAAAAATTTTTAATTAATTACAATATATTAAACTATGTTCATCATTTATGATAGAGATTATCATTTTTCGTGTACATAAAAGTAAAATTAATTGCAGTAAAATTAAAATATATGTAATGGTAAAATCACAATTAATATTAACATGCATTTTAATAAAAATAATAGAAATTGTGAGGTAAAAAGGATATCAAAATTATTATTTATCAAAATTCTATTAAAAGTTATTAAAAGTATATCATAAATAATCAAGATTATATAAAAGGTTATTAAAAATTGTATAAAAATTACCAAAAGTATATTAAAGGTAATCAAAATTGTACTAAAAGTTACCAAAATATATTAAAGGTTATCAAAATTTTATTAGAAGTTATCAAAATTATATCAAAAATAATTAAAATTGTATAAAATTTTCCAAAATTATATTAGAGTTTACCAAAATTCAATCATAAATAATTAAAATTGTATTAAAAGTTACTAAATTGCATTCTACGTTACCAAAATTATGATAGATATTATCAAAAACATTTTAGAGATTATCAAATTATATCATAGATTACTAAAATTATATTAAAAGTTGCCAAAATTCTATAATAGATTACGTGCTTAATATCATTACTCTATAAGAATCCAGCACATATATTCATTAAACATTGCATAATTTTAGCACCGAAGTGTAAATCAGATTCCACATACCCTTTTTAGACCAAGAAAAGACCAATCTTGACACCAAGTTTAGCTCTTAATGTATTGATTAGGAGTCAACACTTGAGACAACTGTGCATGATAGTGTCCCTAAGAGATCAAGTGTTTGAATTTAAAGCATCCATGTAATGCCTACAAAAAGCCCACAATAACAACAACAAAAGATAAGATGATTGTGTTCTTTATTTGCCAATAGCAAATAGAAAGCATATACAATTGGTTGAAAGTTTAGAAATTAAAGTCAGTGATTTACAGCTAACTTTTCAACTGATACATTTGAAAAGGTATGGCAATACACAGAGCTGATATAAAAACAGATACAACAAGAAGGATACTTATCATATCAAAGAAACAATTAATATGAACGGATGATTTGATATAAAAACAGATACAACAAGTAGGATACTGGTCATATCAAAGAAACAACTAGTGTGAATGGATGATTGATTCAAATGATAAAGAAAATGTTCTTCTCTTTTGTTGTTTAGATTTAAATTTGTTGGAATATCAATGGGAAGATAATTTTTCATAAATCAACTAGGTCCAGCATAGGTAAGTTTGCTTGGACCGATCCAAAAAAGAAATTTACTAGACAAAATCCAAAAACCTCGTCGCTTGATAAAAAAATACAATTAATTTTTCTTATCAAAGTGAAAGAAAGAAAATTTGTTTGATATGATAAGTAACCTAATTGATGTATATCTTTCTTAGTAATCAAACGATTGATAAATCAATACATAGGGAAAAAAATGAATGAATGAATGACAAAAGAAAATGGAGATTTTACCATTGATTTTCAGAATACCAGGAAATTAGAAACTGTCATTACTGAATGTTACTTAATTTGTAAGTTTGGAATGTGGGCAATCTTTGGCCATTCAGGGCCACTTTGCTCGGCACAATTTTCCTTTAGTTGGGGACACTTGTTGATTTCAAGTCTCTGTATTTTGGAGAGCTGTTGCATGGCTTCCATAGATGGCAAAAGCATCAAGTTGTTACAATTCCAAAATTGAAGTCGTTGAAGAGAGGAGAAGTTTCTGAACCACTCAGGCAACACTTCCACCGCATTGAAGTCCCATATTTCAAAAGACTTGAGAGAAACAAGATGTTGAAGCTGATTTGGTAGAGACTTCAGATTTTTCCATCCATATAATTCCAAATATTCGAGGGATGCATGGAGATGGTAGATTGAAGTAAGACCTGGGAACTCTTCCAGCTGTTCTGAGAATCCACCAATATGCAATGTCTTCAGGCCAGTGAGGCAACCTAGAATCTTTCCTGGAAGGCAAGTCAACTTTCGACAAGATGTTATGGATAAAAACATAAGAGAACGCAATTCCCCTAGATCTTGTGGAACAGAGCTCAGGCTGGGGCAATTGTGTATGTTCAAATTTTCAAGAGAATTACATGATTTTAACCCACCAGGTAGGCATGATAATCCTTCACAATCCTTGATTGTTAGATCTGTAAGAGAGGAGAAGCCTTCTATACTTGGTATGGATCTCAAATTAGGACAGTCCCATATTCTTAATTCTTTGAGACACATAGAGAGTCCATCCATGGTTGGGATGGATCTTAAATTTGGACAAGCTTGGATGTGTAATTCTTTAAGACAAGAGGAGGCAGATAGTCCATCCCCTAAAGAGCTTATTTCACCACAATAGGAAACTTGGAGTACCTGAAGAGATGAAAGTTTTCTCTGTATTGGAGCACTTTTCAGCTTGGGACAGCCAGAAATAATCAACTCCTCAAGGCAAGGAAACACAGCCACATCTTCTCTTTCTATTATAGCTTTATCCATCTCATCTGCCCATTCCTCCAGGCTTTCCATTTCCACTAAGATAAATCTTCTCAAAGCTGGAAACAACTTCGTTGCCTCACCCTGACCCTGGCTACTTGTTTTGTCAATCTTGTTGTCAGATCGATTGAAATAAAATTCACCACCAATCCTCTTCACCTTCTTCATTTCATCTATTTCAAGCACCCTCAGATTGCACAATTGCCCGAGACATGGAACATTCAGGCATTCCTTGCAATTGATTAATTTTAACTTCACCAAATTGTTGAGTGGAAATGGGTGATCAGAACCATACTCACTCTTCAACATCCATGACGGCAAGTCATCCCCCCAATAATTCACAATGGTTAGACTTTTCAGATTTGAGCTAGGCTTGAGGCCTTCAAGTACTTCCTTATCATTTATGTGGCATTTTCTTTTGTAGCTCCATTTCAATTTCAGCTTGTATAATTTTGTCTTTGCTTGAATGTTAGCCCTACTGGCTTCTGCATTGTCTTTTACATCTTCAAGGTTGCATATCTTCAATTTTCCTCCCAGTTGGCTTAAGCATCCCAGTTCTTCTACTCGGCATCCCTTTTCCGTGTCCACGAAAAAGAACGACAATGTTTGAAGACAAGTTAAGCGTCCAATATCAACTGGCATTAACTTTTCAAGATCGAAATAAATATGCCTCATGCTAACTAGATTTTTCATTCCTCTAGGAAGCTTCTCAAGAGAACTCTTTACAACTCTCAAGGTTTGCAGATTATAGAGCTGAGTAAAGGACTTTGGTAGCTCTGTGACATTTGTTCTTGAGATGTCAAAGAATCTTAAATGCTTTAATTTGCCCAGAGAATCTGGCAACTTTTTTATGTAGGCTCCAGATAACTTTAGAGTTCGTAACCTTTTGAGATCCCCTGAAAAGTTGCAAAATACATCAACCTTGGAAAACAAAGAGTGCAACTTTGGTGCAGCATGTCCTAAAATGTCTGGCACCAGTTCCCCATTGAAGATGACACTCATATGTCGAATATGAGATGTATCACGCATGGAGTCGGTGTCCAAAACCATGGTTTCTTCTTTCGAAACAAACACTGCAAGATCATGAACTAAATCATGCATCTTACAAACGTCAATGTTCCCATAGGCATCCCTTTCCACATCTTGGAACAAGGAATTTGATAAGAGTGCTTTAAAGTGTGCATTACCAGTATCCTCCATGGTCATATGATGACCTTCTTGAGATGGATGAAGGAATCCTTCAGCCATCCAAAACTGAATTAATTGCTCCCGGTCAATGTGAAAATCCTTGGGAAAATTTGAACAATATGCAAAACACTGCTTCAAAGATGGTGAAGGCAAGCGATCAAAACTTAACTTTAGCACATGCAAAATACCATCGTTCCTTTCGAGAGAATCCCAAATGTTACTATTTTTAATCGACAACCACTCCTCTTTGTCCCTTTTATTGCTCATAGTCCCTCCTATAACCCTTGCAACCAGTGGCACACCTCTGCACTTTTTAGCAATATCCTTTCCAATAACCTCCATTTCTAGTGGTATTGAAGCGCTTCCAAAAGCTTTTTCTTTGATTATGGACCAGCACTCATCATCCACCAATTTCTTAGGATAGTGCCTATGTTCAGGAATTGTTCCCATCACCCATGCTACATAATCACTGCGAGTTGTCACAATAATTTTACTCCCTATATTTCTACTTATTCCCAACAGACATCCTTTTAAATCTTCCCACTTTTCAGTGTTTTCATTCCAAACATCATCAAGTATGAGAAGATATCTTTCCCCTCCTAATTCTTCTTGTATTCTTCGAAGCACTGTATCCTTGTTTTTAATTGCACAAGGGTTTTTGCTAAGAGATTCTAGCATCTCCACCACAATTCTTTCCACATCAAAATCATCAGACACACAAACCCACATGATTTTACCAAAATGATCTTGTATTGGCTCATTGTTGCATACTACTTTTGCCAAAGTAGTCTTCCCAAGGCCAGCCATACCCACAACAGATACAACAGAGAGAGTTTGCTGAGTATTGGAGTTAATCAACAAGTCAATAATTTTGAAGACATCATCTTCCCTTCCTACAACATTAAATGAATCACCAATTAAAGAGTGGGTCTCTTGGTTTCCTCTAGGTACAGGAACCATTTCCCCAACTTTCCTTTGGAGTCCAAATTGGCTGGCCTGATCATTAATGTTTCTGAGGGATACATTGATATTTTTAATCTTATTACCCATCTTGAGACGACATGACACAGGGATGGAAGGTGAAATGAAATTGCAGAGCTTTCTACTGATTTGATTCTGAATTTTTACCTTCATCTGGAGATTTTGATAAGCAAACTCGTCTAGAACGTCATGAACCTCATAAGCAACATCTCTAAGCTCCTGCAGCCACAGCCTGACAGCCCCATCTCTAACATGCTTTTCCTCTGCATCTTGTAACATTGCCTGAATCATGGTTAGCAAGACTCTAAACTTTCGCAGGTCCTTCTTGAAACCCCAGGCTAGGCTAACTTGTTCAGCAGCAAGTGAAATCACATTGGATAGTGTCAACTCCACAGCAGCACCGAGGACAGCTTCAACTACCTTATGTTCCATACTAATTTTGGAGAAATTTTGCAGGTAATCTCTGAATCAGATTTCAATTATAGTACAGCTTTTGCTTTTCCTTTGGTGTAAAATGTTTTAATTACGCTTGCAAGACTTCGAATGCTATTTTAAGTCAACCGAGTCGCATAATCAACTTCCATGGCCCTGGACTACTTAACACTATATACCGAAAATACCCTTTTTTAATGGATTTTTTTCTCTCTCTCTCTCCGCCAGACTTTCCAGATTACTCAAAGCTGACCTTTTGGACACTTTGGCTAAGTTGCAAATACAAAATGAATTCCACTTAGCCCTCAAGGTACTTTTATTTCTATATATATGTTTTCTTTTGTTGGAAACTTTTCGTGGGTTCCTTTGATGAATTAGAAGGAACCCTTTGAAGCTTTATGCATTATGATTTGCTTTTCAGGGTTTTTAGCTGAAATGATGTCAGCATTTAGGTCTTTGAATCTGTGAGGAAGGAATCCTATGCTCATCATTATTTTTATATACATCAACATTAATATCGCTAAGAATAAATTATAAACAAGTCAATTATCATTTATGTTTATTTTCTTTCTCTAGCTAGCAAAAATATGACATTAGAACACGGTTATTAGTAAAATGACATTTCAACTTAGTTACACAAGAATGATCCGTAGGCATCCGTTATTGATGTTTTTAAAGCTAACGAAACTATTTCTTTCATGTTCGAAAAAAAAGCTATTTACTGTTTATCCATTTATTCTATGATTTTTCTATTAACGTTTGATTCATAAACAGTTTTAACTTTCAGCATTGGCTCATGAGTATAAGCCTTAATGATTCTTTAAACTTAGTAATTATAAATAATTGTTTGAACCCAAAACGAGGATGAAGAAAACAAAGGTTGGCGGTTAAGCATTAATCGTGAATTTGTTACTTGAAATAGGAAACAGGTATGTTTCTTGTCGGGTACAATAAACTTGTTTAAAAAGATACTGGACTACCATCTATATGACATATTTGAATGGTTTGATATCAGAAATTGTCCATCAATTATCTCTCTTCCTACCATGATTTGATTAGGGATGACAATAAAAAGTAAATAAATGAATATTTGTTATTATTTGATCTGTTTATATTATATTCAAATAATTATAAATAAATAATTAATAAATTCGGATAAAAAATTTATTATTCATAATAAATTCGGAATAGATATGAATAGTATCTCATAAATATTTATTATTCGAATCCGTTAAATTTTAATAAATAATAATAACTATCCGAATATATTACTCATATACATATATAATATATAAAATTTTATATTTGTAAAAAATTTCAGACCTTAAAAAATAATTTTTATTTATTATTAATTAAGAGTAAACTTAAATTTTAAATTAAATTATATTTATTTTATATTTTAATAAAAATTTAAATAAACAAAAATTTTAACAAATTTGAATATTTAAAATGAATAATACTTATTTAAATAGATTCAGATTTAAAATAATAATATTAAAGTTAAACGAATTTAAATACAAATATCTTAAAAATAACCGATATCCATTCTATTATCATTCTTGGGTTTAATCCTGTGATAACTTTTAATATTAGAATTTCGTTTCAAATAGGCAGTCGAATGTAGGGAAGCACATATTCCTGTACTAGTGTCTTGCGTTTTCAACCCCAGAAATTAATCTAATATAAAGAGAAAAAATAGCTTAAATTGGGACTGATTGTGTTGAGAAGAAACAAGTTCAATGGAGTCTAATTGTTTCATATTATAGGTATATATTTTTTAAATCAGAAAATTCATGTAAAAGAGGCCTAGTAGTTTAATCTTTGGTTATGGTTTCACTCTTTTTTTGAAAAAAAAAAAATGCCTAACCTTATATAGCAAAAAGAATTGTAAGTGTTAAAATTTAAATTTCAAAATTTTTAGATATCATCTTTTCAAAATAATAATATAAATTAACTGAATTAAATTTTAAATTCGAATATGATCTAAATCTTAACGGCTTTTTTTTTTTATTCTTCACTTTCAACTTTAATATCGACGGTCACTTCAAGCTTCAACTTTTAAGATTCAATACTCAATATGTCATTCTCAAGATTTTCTCGTATGGCACAAGAACAAGAATGTCAAGATTCTTTCATCAAACGTGATGTAAAAATTGGGATCTCAAATAAGATCCGTCTATAGGATAACAATATGGAGTGACTAAAAAATTTGTGATCAAAATAAAAGAAATCAAACACCATTCTCTGTCAACTCTGTTAATGGAAATCAAAATTTGTTATAGAAGGAAAGTGTTCTTTCTTATGCTCAAGGAAGATGTACAAAGGAATGCTAGCTTGGTATTACAGATATGTGAAATTGCATGTCACAATACAAGAAGAAACGTTTCTTAGCCTCTACTTGAAAAGAAAAACATGCACATTGCTCTTTGAACCACTTTGATCAACAAACAAATTGAATTTAAAGGGAGAAAAATAGAAATAGTAAACATAAAATTTCTGTTTAGCTAGCCAAGTGGTTGGGAGAGCTGTTAAACATACTGTGCCACATGTGTGCCCTAGAAAATGCCATTTCAAGCTCTTGATATGTCCAGTTGTGAGTTGGAAGGTGTCGAAGGAACATCACCAGCTCTTGGAAATCAAGCTTCTGAAGTTAATCTGACCACTGAACATATAGAACAAACTATTTATCCGTTTAGCTTCACAAGATTCGTAAGGATTATGATTAATCATAAATGAATAAATTATTTCAGAGGCACCCAATATCAAGCATCATTAATTATGCGACTAAAAGAATTGCAGTTGAATGTTTACAAATCACAGCAATAAAGATCATCAACAGAGTCCATAAGGAATCAGATAAATGTTCTAAAGTATTATTGGAAAATAAAGGAAATGATGAAAAGAATATTTAAGGAAAGAAGGAAGAAAAGCAAAAAGGAGGTGGATGTTCCTTAGGAATCATGCAGAAGTGAAGTTTAGAGTAGGACATTACACAGAACAGAAACGATATAACGCTTACTAGGCTGTCGCAGCAATCCAGGACAACAAGCGTCATTCAATTTAAATAGAGTAAATCTGAGAGAACACGAGCTCTTATACCCCTATGAAATTTAGGATGAGGGGAGGCTTCTCCTTCCAGGACCAGAACAGAATGACAAGCCTTATAGAGGACATACATTAGATTTACAGATCGCCCACCAACATGAACTGTTGGCAGCGGGTCCTAGGCTTTACAAGCGAAGTATTTGAACCTTACCAACTCAATCAACCCCGTTGGCGTATTAATTATGTTTTTGACCAACGAAATAATCATAAGAAAAAGAAGCAAGAAAAAACACACACAGACACACATCTTTTTATTTGAAGAATTATCATAACTGTATCCCCTTAAGGTTGTAGTCAAAGATGAATGCTTGTAAATTATATCAGCATGAAGGAAGTTAAAGCACTTCTCACCGTTAAAGAAAACTGACAAATATGTACACAAGGAAATCAGGCAGTCAGGCAGTGCATCTCCTTCTGCAAGATAGGTGTCCCATAGACGGATTACCAGATAGAAAGGGATCTGTTAAACAAAAAAAAGAACAAATAAATAAATCCAAAAGAGCGGCAAGAAAAATTGAAAGTAGGACTAGTTTGTCAATCAGACAAAATTTTGAGAGGCAGGATAATTAAACAAATGCATGTGATAGTGGGTGTGACTAACTATCTATGCTCCCTTCTAAGTACTCTGCTAAGAAGACAACTAGAAAGGGTGTGACAAGATCATTTATCCCCTGCACGTATCCACTTGCAGGATGCCAAATGGCCCTGTACATGAAGTTGAAGAAAAACATCAATTTCCCCCAAAACAACACTGGGATCTCCACATCATCTTAAGATGCACAAAGTTATAGCTCCATTTGAAATTAATAATTAATAGTCTATCACTTAAAATAAGGAATTTAAACACAAATTAATAAGAAATAGAAGTGATCAGGGCAGCACAGTAGAGATCTACATTAAAATTGGAGCAGCAAAAAGTTAGATAGTATACTTCAAAGCTACGCTGTAATCATAACTATGTTCGGGCATTCCACATCCATAAAAACAGAAGTTTTAATTTTCAGTTCTTAAAAAATATTGTGTTGTACGTGTTATAAGAAAGCCATCAATAAATTTGAATTTACCAATCCAAATAGTATCTTACCATGTATAAAGAATGCGCTCCAAGGATTTTTGAATTTGTGCTTGTTGAAAGAAAGCAACATTAGGTACAGTTCTAGGACAATCAACAGCAATCTAACAAACAAAATAAACGCATTTGTTAATAACTGGGTACAGAAGGCGTACAATCGAGTTTGGAATTAAGTAAGGGCTAAAGGTCCTTGACGAAGCATATTAATCTCATCATCTGACTGTTCAGTGTCTGGAATGTCATAAAATTAACCAACACAATCAAGATACTCAAGGCTTTTCCTCCTTAGAACTCCCTCCCTTCTATCTGAATTAGGTGGTGCATATCCCTGTTGTCTGTTCATACTTTAATTTCATACAAGCAACCAAATCTATTTAATAAAGACAACCTATATCCATTAGACGTCACGTTAGTTAAACCTGCATACCAAATATGAGACATGTAGATTCTTCCGCTCTAAAAAGTGGCCTCATTGGTTCCGTTAATTGGAACAGAAAGCCAACAAGGTTATACAACAAAGAGAAAGCTGACAAAAATATACAACAAAGAGAAAGCCAACCCCCTTGACAGAACTTGCATTTGTAACATACTAAAACAATACCTCCTAAAAAAGATACATGTGACACTAAAAGCAGAAGCAGGGATGCAGCAATAACATGTTATAAAGTTTTAAAAGCACAATCCTGTGGATCATACAGAAATTGTTTATTTGGAGGATTCCACAAGATTGATAAAATTAAAGTTGGCAGTAATTAACAAAAAATCATTAACATCATTCTAATCCTAATAGGAGAAAAACAAAAATTTCAGCCCTTACAGAAAAGAAGTGGATCAAAGTGGTTCAAACGGTTCAAGTCCTCCTGATGCCTAAAACCGATGGTTTATTAGACCATCAAGCTTGCCAGCAGAAGTCTCCATATGTTAGGACGCATGTAAGGTGGAACACCACTCCAAGTTAACTCATATTCTCTCTGCACAATGACATGATAGTTAAATTAAACCTATATCCTATGAATAAAAAGATTGTCAAACTAGAGTTAGAAAAAGCTGTATCACATCAAGAAAAAGGTACTGATTGCTAAATTAAAGTGTTTACTAATACAAATTAAGGCAGATAAAAGTGCATAAAATGATAATATACCAGAATGAGTATGATCTATGCATCAGAATGCAGAGTGAAGATGTCAAGCCCAAATAAACAGTATTTTGTTTCTTGTTAACAAGATAGAAAACAGTGGGTATTTAAAGACGAAAGTAAAACT